AGAGCTATGACTGTTACTCTGACCCATTTCCTGCCGGGTGTGTTTTCTCTCAATCAACCACAATCGCTTCCCTCCTTCAGCGGCCAAGTCCTTTGCCCGAGATTGGAAACGCGCTTAGAAGAGGTCCACACTCGCTTCACAAATACTAATATCCTGACCCGTGCCTTCACAGATTCAGAATACTTGGTTCGTGTCTCATCACACACTCCTTCTCTTCACCGACCGGTTTCCTTACTGAAACCACGGTTAGAGGATAACCACGCAACTTTGTTGCGTATCACACACACACACATGCACACCGTCTCGTCGATGACTGGTTTCCTTACTGAAACCACGGTTAGAGGATAACCACGCAACTTTGTTGTGCTTCACACACCGGCCTCCCACCCAAACGAACGATACTTACAGTCTGCTGTTCCCGTCCGGATCTTCATGCACAAGAATTACAGGTAATTTACACTGCAGTTTTCAGGGAGCTTGAATTCCTTGGTTATTGCCTCTCTGTTCGTTGATCTCATGAGACTGCCCAGGACTACAGTCCCCAAGCCACAATTTGTGGGGGCGCCCCTCGTAAGAGCTGTAGTCCCAAACAGTCACAGAGATCACGTCAGGGTCACCAATTTTGTTATAAAAATTTAGACTTGGCCATGATCTGATTTAATTATTACAATTGATTAAGATCAAGAGGCAATAAGCAAGCAGCGCTGGGTGCGTGGGGAGTCTCTGCTCCGCCAACAGCGCACACCGGGGCTTTTGGGGTCCAGTCTCTTATACTTCCCGGTCCAGGGTTTCAGTTCCTGGGTTTGAGTTTCAGCCAATCCTGTTGTCTTCTTTGTCCGAAACGCGATGTGGCTCCTTTTCATTTGTTTCTGTCCCGTTGCTGGGGTCTTCTCTCCAGGAGAAGAAACATACTGAAACTTCTCGGCAATACATTAACAGGAAAATGTCTATCACAAGCTTAACCACGATCTTAGACCCGTATATTTCATTCCTTATATGGTTACTTGTTTAGTGCATAGGTTTCACCACATCCCGTAACAGGATTGGTTACCTATCCCCCCTTAAAGCATTCAAGCAGCTAAACAAAGCTAAAAGCGTTCCTTAATGTTTTAACATAATTAAAGCGCTCCTTATTGTTGTAACCTATACATCCCATCCCACATGCTAGTTGGGTGCCTGGCTCTAAAGCTTCAGATGTGTCCTGGGTTCAGCAGTAGCAGTCATTTTTCTCCTTCTTACTAGCTGGTGCAGTGCTGTGCTTGACTTTCAGACTGGGAACAACGCTGATAACACACCGATGTTTTTAGATGTTGCTAAGTAATGTTTACTCTGACCAAGGACTTTCTGAGTCTCATGTTCTGCCAGGGAGGAGGGGAAGCCGGGAGGAAGCAGAGACAGGACATCTGACCCAAACAAGCCAAAGAAGTATTCCATACCACAGAACGTCATGCCCAGTATATATACTGGGGGCAGTTACCCGGAAGGGTTAGATCACAGCTCGGGTCGGGCGGGGCATCGGTCGGTAGGTGGTGAGTGGTTGTATTCTCTTCCCTTGTTATTTCCCTTATCATTAATATTACTGGTGGTAGCAGTAGTAGTGGTTTGTGTTATGCTGTAGTTACTGGACGGCTCTTATCTCAACCCATGGGAGATACATTCTTTCAATTCTCTTCCCCATCCCTCTGGGAGAGGGGGGAGGAAGGAGGGGGGGATTGAGCGAGTGGCTGCATGGTTCTGAGATAGCGGCTGGGCTTAAACCACGACAGTTCTTTGTGGCGCCCAACATGGGGCACGAAGGGTTGAGATAACAACAGATGTGAGCAGAGTGTCTCTAATCGTATTTGTGATAAGCATTCATTGTTTTGGATTAATAGTCACTCGTCACAATGCTGATTTATTGGTTCTCAGAGTTCTTGCACTTGATCTCACAGTTTCAGCATGTCGCACCTTAGTTAGAGCCAGTATTTGCTGGTTTAGTGCTTATCAGCTGGGGGGGCCTGGCCTAAGGTTCTTGTTTCGCTGTACTTCATGGTAATGACTTGTAATACAATAGACTCACTGATCATGAAACTAGGCTGGCTTGCGCTCCCAGTGTGGTCAACACATCTATACTTTTGAAGGCATATAATGGAATATTTCAGCAATTACACCTTTTTTTTCCCTTCTCAGGTTGTCAGCCTATGAAGGAGACATTCCCTTACGCCCCCCGCTCCCCCACCAGACTATTCACAGCATCATTTGAGAGTTCTGAAGGTTTTGAATGGCCTTTGGGTACCCTTGAGACCCACCTGCTGATTGTGATGGGGATCACCATGTTGGCACATATACAGAGTGTGTTTTAACCACGGACATACCATCCTGAGAACGGCCCATTTCGTCTGACCTTGAAAGTTAAGCAGGTTTGGGTTTGGGTCTGGTCTAGGGTTAGATGACGATATAGGAGGACCAAAAGATTTTCCCCGAGGCTGGACAGTGAGACAAGGGGGCACAAAATCACAAAATGGAATATAGAAACCTCTCAAATTAGTTTTAAGTAATGTTAAGTTTGATGGCTTTGTAACAGTAGCAATGGAAAATTACTGAGGTGCGTGATACACAGAAGAAAAAGCAGAGTACAGCTAGAGATCATACTGAGAATTGTCATAAGATAAATGTTATAGTTGATACAGTTTAAGAAAAACATTCTAGAACAGGACACAGGGTAAGGAGTATCTGGGAACTGCAGGGGTCCAGGATGGGCTACAGTGAAACTAACTGATAAGTGGGAGGATAGGAGGATTATTATGTCTCTGGTGCTAACGAACCAATTAAACTGGTATGAGCATCTACTGCGCATGCTTCAAAGGCTGCCAGAAGTGATGAAGATTGTTGGAGGAAGTAAACGACCCTCAGAGACCACCACCACAATTCTGTATGCATGCGAGGAACTCTCTGGAAAATGATGTAATCCACACGTAGCCTCATGAATACGTATGTATGCCCAGTGGCTATAAAAGGACGGCTTGTGTGGCAATTGGGGGACACACGTTAGGAGGAGCTATCCCCCGTGTCTCCCGGTGCCGCAATAAAGAATACCTGCTTGTCCTCTTGAAAACTTTGTTGGCGAGTTTGTTCCTGGAGTTTTCCACAAATCAATTTGGCGACCCTGATGGGACCCTCTCTGCTCTGCTGCAGGACCCGCTGAGGACAGGGCTCCCTAGGGCACTTAGGAATTTTTCCCGGTGGGACCCCTCAACTCATTCGGATCACCGCCGGAACAGACAAGGACCATCTAATAAAAAGGTATTCTTTTCTTTTGTATAGTCTGTAAGGTACAGGGGGCATCTTGCATAAAGACTAAATTGGTAATTGGGTTGGTTTGGTAAGCGTACGCAAGGTTTGGAAGCCTTCCATAAATCGAGATAGGAAATCTCATAGGTAAAGGCGTATACCCGGGTGGTAGCGTCCGTTTGGTATACACCCACAAAAAACAAGCTAAAAACCAGACCCAAACCACATAATTGGCTCCATCCTCTTCCCAAGAGGAAGGTCAGAAATCCATGAGGCTGATGAAGGAAAAGCTCCCCAGCAGTCAGATCTAGAGCTGCAACCCAAGACTTTCTCCACTGATCTGAAGAAGAAAAGAGTCTTTAGAAAGGCCTTTAGGACCTTCTTATGAGCAAGAGAAAGCAGCATCCAGCTTCCATAGAAAACTGGCAAAGCTGAGGGAGCTTCACAGGTCAAGCAGGGCAGGTCCATCCTCACAGTGGGGTGGAAGACATTTGGACACCTAGAAAGCAAACTAAACCCTCCAGTGCAGCCCTTTTCTATGGGATGAGAATGAGCCTTAATGGTTTGGGAGAGCTCCTCCCTCCTGAGGACAGTGTTCTCTAGAATAAGACTGTTCTTGATGAAAATGCAATCTCCTAAGCAAAGCTAAGGTGAGCTCCTCTGGGACACCTGCAGGATGTGCAGATGGAGGGGATCCAGTCTTCCCTCCTGCAGCACAGCACATGGCTGCCTCCCCAGTAATCCTCACAGCCAGGCAGATGGCCTTCTTTAAATTAATCTTTTTTACTTGAGTAGGCATATTGTGAGATCTCTGCAATCCCATCTCCTCATTTCAGTTCTGTCGGCATCACCAGGGTAGTCCAATCCTTTCTAGCATGGAAAATACCAAGGCAGCAGCCTTGCCCGACCCCTAAAGAACAACAAAACCAGCATCCTGAAGCACTGCAGCATTGCTCAGCTGTGAGCTGTGCCAAAAAGCACAGCTACTCGGCTCCTTCACCCCTCCAAGAGCTGGATTCACCCTTCTGCCCCAGCTAACCTAGACTGAACCCCCAAAGCCAGGCACAGCTCAGACTGGCCAGGCTGCGAGTGTGATGGCCACACAAATCCCTGCAGGTCTCCAGGTGCTTCTTTCACCTCCAAAGCTCTTCTCTGCTTCCTACCACAGCGCCAAAGGTGCTGGGGCATCAGTAAAGCTAATCCACAGCGAGCTCACAGATGTATGAGCAACAGGAGGTGTGCCAGAGAATAGCTCCAGGCCTGCACTGGGGATGACGGATGCCAGGACAGCAGCATGGATGGGATCTGCTGTGCCATCACTGTGGGCTCGCTTCAGTCCTTCCCCCCCATTCCAGGTGCCCACAGGTCTCCTGAGGTGCTCATGTCCCAGCCAGACCAGCCACCAGGATCCTGCCAAACCCACAGGCACTGGGGTGATGCAAACAGCACGTGATGGGCAGGTGACATTTCTAGCACAGATCTCCAGGAGGACACTCCTGCTGAAGCCCTTCTCCATCCTCTCACCCATGCCAGATGCAAGGTGCAAAGCCAGAGCATGGCCAGAGCAAGGGGCAGCTATCTCCATCCTGGGGACATAGGGGTCTTGACCCAAATACATAAGAAACCCCCTACCCAGCCGCTCACCTGTATGTCCTCCCTCGCACCCTCGGGTGCTGCCCTCCGTAGTAGCCTCCCTGCTGGGCCAGGCCTCCCCGGGCTTGGAAGCAGCCCTAGTAGCCCCCACGGTCAGTGGTGCTGATGCCCGGCACATTGGTCCTCTTGGGCAGCACCTAGAAGGCAAAGGGTGGCTCAGCCAGCACCAAGTTTTGGCACAGCTCCATTCAAACAGAGCTGGGAGAGATAGATGCAGCACCCCAGGGCTTCATCCAGCTCTTACCTTAATGACACGGCCTCTGAACACACTCTTATCCAGCTCCAACGCAGTCTTCACAGAGCTCTTCTCTTCAAATTCAATGTAGGCATACCTACAAGGGGATGGGTTGAATAGAGCCCCAGGGCACCCCACTGCTCCCAAAGGCTGGGGAGCACAGGGCAGCATCCTCAAGACCCCAATCCCAGAGCACACCACTGACCCTTTGGGATGCCCTGAGAACTTGTCACAGAGGATGGTCACTCGGTTGATCTCCCCGCAGCTGTGGAAGTGAGACTCCAGCTCTTCTGCCGTGCCCCCATAATCTACCTGCAACGACAGTCCCAAGCCCTCCAGTGCTACCAGCCAGCCCCCCAGCTTGTGGGTCTGCAATCACACAACGTCACGAGAGACAAAGGGCCCAGCTGACCCCTCTCACACCATGCCACCATAGCTTCACCACCTCTTGAGGTGCAGCAGACCCAGATGAATTTTCCAGCCTAGAAGCCCAAATCCAAGAGACAGCTCCCCTGGCTTTGAGGGGACAAGAAACGCCACAAAAACAGCAGCTTCCAGCAGCGTAGTTTGGGGAGCTGACACTTGCAACAGATTATCTGCAAGTAGTTGAAAATCATAGGCAGATGCTGAGCCACATTCCCAGTCTGGGCTGGGCAGAGGAGAAGCATTTGGGATGGGACCAGCCAGCCTTCAGTGGGGGGTGGAAAGGCCCCCGGTGAGAAGGTTCTCAGACATACATCCAGCTGGACCAGGAGTAGGGAGATGGGCTCTGCTCCAGGGTCTCCCACTTACATTGCCCACATAGATGGATCGCTGGTCAACCTCCATCTTCTTGGTTGTCTTTGGGAAGAGACCTGCAGAGACAAGGGCTGCTTTGCCATGCTGGAGTTATGGGAGCCCTTTGGCAGAGGGGTGTCTGTGGAAGTCTTCTACCAGCACAACCACCACTGAGCTGACACACTATAAAGCTCCTTGAGTCCCTGTCACGTCCAGGCATACCCAAATACCCACACGGCTGTCTCTGCCTCCTCCTCCTCCTCCATCCCCTTGCCCCCTTTCTCTTCAGAAAGCCCCCAAACCACAGGGTAACTGCTCTACTGGGGCAGTTGATAATAAACTCAATTAAGTAACTGAATTAAATGTAATTAATTTACTGCATCTTGGTCTGCACAGGTAGGAGCTAAGAGTGGATAGCACCATGTCACACCCGGGACCCCATCCCTCATCCACCTTACATGTCCAGCCTCAGGCTGCCTGGAGAGGCAGAGCCACATGCTCTGGCTCCAGTTACCACCCTGTGCTCTAGTGTTGGCCCTGAGGGGACAGCAGCACCCAGGGACAGCCCATACCTCCCTCCAAGTTCACAATAAAGCGTTTCTCAGCTTCCAGCTGCAGCTCCTTTATCCGCTCATCCTCTTTCTCCATCTCTTGCACTCTGGCGTTGATGGCCTCCAGCTCCTGAAACCCCAACCAAGACTTGCATGAGCAGTACACTGAGCAGGGACACCCTGATCCCACCGCCCAATCTGGGCTGGGACGTTGCAGTGCTGCACAACATGCACCTCCACCCACAGTTCCCTCCCAGGCGGGGGACAAGGGTAGCCTGAGGACAACAGCCTGTCCCACAAAAGGGGAGTTCAGCTCCCAGCTCCACTAGGGAGAAAAAAAACAGATAATACTTCCTTTCCCATACTTTTGGAGCAGTATGGGCAGAGATGCCAGAGGGAACCAGAGATTTAAGCTGGTGATGAACAGGAGCCAGGTACTCTTGCTCAGCCAGAAAAACACCTCAGTAGTGAAAGCTAAGCAGCAGGAGAGTGACAATTCAGGTTCCAACTTCTCAGCTCAGGGATTTTAACATCAGGGCCCAAGATTTTTAATTTTTAGAAGCACTTGAACAGAGGTGTAGAAAGCTTCCCATTTCCTTAGAGAAACAAGGAAAACTGATTCCACACTCACTGGGTTCTGCACAACCAGCTCCTCCACACTGTCCCCCTCCAGGTGGCTCAAGTCCAAGTCATCATCTACAGTCTTCCACAGAGCTGCCATCTCTGCCACATCCCAGGATGCCTCCACTGCTGCCAGGGACGGCAGGTCCTACAACCAGATCCCTGAAGTGTCCAGGAAGAGAGGACTGGGCAGGAAGAAAGGCAAAAAGCCATTTAAGAGAAAAAAAAAAACCCAGCCATTTAATGTAGAACTAAAGCAGAACGCCAGGCAGACAAGGGCTTTAAAGGTGCTTCCAGCAGAAGGACGAACAGGTGCCACCAAAGCAGCTTGCTCTCAGTGCTGCAGGCAGGCTTGCAGCAAGACCCCAGAATTGCAGGAGTCCTCACTCCTGAAGTTGGTGACCTACTGAAAGGTCTTGTGTTCATACTGAGGCATTTCCCAACTTAGGAGGGCTGCAGAGTGGAACAGGAAGCATCTTCCTGTGGGTGAAAAAGGAAAAACAGGCACAAGCCGGATTTAAAATGGAAGGAGAGACAGGACCTGACCCACCATAGCGCTCCCAGGCCATACAGAGTGAGCCCTACCTCACCTAAACAAAGGTAAACCCATACCCTTCCAGCTTGGGGCTCCTGGTTTGATCTCACAGTGGTGAGATCACTACCTGTGAGCAGCGAGCTGACCCTCTGCTCCAGCCTCCAGAGCCTCAGTCCTTACCACAGAGCTAAGACCCGTTCCGGACGTGTGTCATGCCGTGCACACCCCTCCCCCCCGGACCACGAACATCCCGCACTACCTCCACGGAACAGCGTCACATACAAATTTCCTGCGCAGTGCTGCTTTCACACATCAGGAGCCAATCAGGGCAGGGCGCGCCGGCAGGGGGCCCTGCCCAGCCGTGACCCTGGAGCCTCGGGTTCGAGTCCTGGGTGTGGCAGCAGACATGTACGAGCGGCCAGGTGGTGGGTCTTCCCCCCCCCCCCCCCCCCCCCCAGCCCTCCTTGTCCACCCACCCCGCTGGCGGTGCTGGGGACCACAGCGAGCTCCTGTGCACAGTGTGAGCAGCAGGGCACCCCAGTAGAGTGCAGCATCTGCAGCAGGAAGGGAACATCCCTTTGGGTTCCCTGGGGACAAACCTCAATGCCCCCCGCCATGGACACCCCTCCTTATGGCTAGACATGGGGAAGTGTTTACCCCATGGATACAATGAACCCCTCCAGGGTTAGGGGCCCAGAGTGCTGCTGGGTGAGTGGGGCACCCACCACAAGTCCAGGCTCTGGTTGATATTAAATTGTCTTTATTACACAGATACAGAGTTAACAGCCATAACCTGCATCATAAAGTTTACATTTTTCACAGGTCAAACATAGAGTACACTTAGAGAAAGCAGGAAACAGCAAGGGGGGGACAACATGCCAAAAGGAAGTCCTACCACATAATCTCTCTGGGCTGGCCCCCAAAGCCCCCAAAACCCATACAATAGGGCAGGGTGCCTGGCAGGGGGCTCTGGTTTCCAGCCCCCTGGGATCCTCTGTGCCCCAGTGTCCCTGTCCCCAGGGTTGGCAGGGTAACACGAGGATCCCAAGCAGGGCATGGGACCAGGGAAGCTGGGAGTGAGGGGGGATGGCAGCACGATACCTCCCTCCCGGGGCTATGGCATTCAGTGACATCAGAGGAACCCCCGGGGTTGCCACCACAACACCAGTGAAGTGTCTGGTACCTAGAAACAAGGTGGCATCTTGTCCCCAACCTCAAACACACCAGGATCAAGAGGAGTACTCTGAGGAGAAGAGGGGACCCCAGTGGGCCCTGAAGGAGGATGCCGCAGAATATATATGGACTCAGTCAGAGATCAATATGATCAGACAAAAAGCCGTTTATTACAAAGCCTTAACCCCTTAAATACTATTTCTTACGTGCACTTACAGTGATTTGGCATATTATGATTGGATACATGTCTTGAAGACCCTTTGCAACTAGCATATAACTGGTTAAGCACAGGTGTGGGAACTTGACCTCGAAAGCTTGCCAACAGTCCACAGTTCTCATTAACTCCGTGAAATACAGCTTCTTCTTATCTTGCTTGTTTAAGCTTCCTTGGGCCTCTCATGGCCTTGCTGTATCTTTCAGGATTATTCAGAATTTATGTATCAATTATCCATTCTCCTGTGAGAACACTGTCTCCACATCTCCCCCTTTTTGTTTTATATATGTTTTGGATGACTCTACTTGAGCAGGGGATTTGGGCTAGATCATATCTCCAGTATATGCCGACTACAGGCTGCTGGGCCTGCCCCTTTTTTCTGCTGTATGGCTCTCTGGTAACAGGGGAGGCCATCCCTCACATCAAGGTCTGGCATGGCATGTGTCCCCACCGCTCCAGGCCTGCTGGGTTGCAGCCAACATCGGAGCTAAAGGTTCTTCTGGGTGGCAAACACAGTATTTGCTGATATCACTTTACACCTCATTCAGACAGGCCAGGTACACTTAACAGCTATTTCTAGCCCAGGTCAGGGAGCACAGATAGCACAGTTGGGATAAATCCACACCAAGAGATTAAGACAGGATTGCACAAATGCCTGTCTCATCCCAAACTCATCTCTATTAGCATCTCCTATCCTTGCAGCTCCCTGCTGTTCCAATTGAAGACTTCCAAATCAATACCAGGTATTTATATAGGGAAAAAAAGTACAAACTAGGCTAGAAAAGCATCCCAGCTTCTTAATTGCTTATGCAGTACACTCACTACACAAGGCTGTGCAGCTACAGCATGTCCAAGTAGAGGTAACACAGGCAGGCATAGGCACTGAGCAGCTACTCGGTGATTTTCACACACCTCTACTCCAAGTCTTTCCTGTCCCACAGGCAGCAGTCTGTGCTTCAAGGACCTAATCAGTTAAAAACACATAAAACATAGGCTAAAAATAATAGTTAAATAGCTGCACAGCTCCAAAGGATGGATACTAGAAGCCTGGAGAAAGCCAGGTCAGTGTTAAGTCAGCTCCCAGCCAGTACAGTCTCACTGCAGATGAGGTTCACACAGCAGGATAATTTATTTTATAAGTAACATTTACAATACCTTCTCAAACAGAACTTCAATACATTTTAAACAACAACAACAACCTCTCAGATAATGGGAGATGAAAGTGTTGAAGCCTCTCCTACCATCTAAACAAGGTACAGCTGTACACTGCTATTCCAGAACATTTTCCTGTAAAAATCACTCTTTTCACTTTCAGAGATGGGAGTTCAGCATTTCCTCTTCCACAAGAGAATCCAAACACCCCAAAGTAATTTCTGTTAAGAAATATGTCTCAAGAATTTACAAAGCTACTAAATGGAATATTTAAAGCCCTAGAAGAAGTCAGGTTTATTTTTAATCTAAGATTAAGCTGTAATTTGGATAAAGGCCAATCTTGGCAGCACTGAGCTCAGGAGTACAACATTAAGAGTTAAAGCCCCAAGCTTTAAAAATGTCTTGAGATTTTAAGAGGTGGGGGGATCAGTAGGGTTTTTAGCCTGGCAATGCCCCCTGATCTGTGAAAACTGCTGAAGGGGACAGTGAATTATTTTGAGCCTGGTGGGCCCATGGCATTTCAGGCCATCAGAGCAGAGATGCAACATAGAGATGGACTCATGATCAAGGGGTGGACTTAGCAATGGACACTATTGCCCAGGTTATTCACGAGTGTGAACACTGCACACATTCTCTCCTGCTCTGACTGGTACAAGAGATGGAGACTGACATCATGGACCAGATGGACTCAGCAGCTTTATAGGGACTGGTCCATGCACTAAGATAAGAGCAATAGTATATTGAAAATGTGGGATCTGGGCATGACGTGAATGGTATGGAATAAGGGGTGGATAATGTCCTGGGTTCAGCAGTAGCAGTCATTTTTTCTTCTTCTTGGTAGCTAGTGTCGTGCAGTGTTTTGACTTTCGGCTCGGGAACAGAGCTGATAGAGATGTTTTGGTTTGGCCAAGGACTTTGTGAGCCTCATGCTCTGCCAGGGGGGAGGGGAAGCCGGGAGGAAGCAGAGACAGGACACCTGACCCAAACTGACCAAAGAGGTATTCCATACCACAGCACGTCATGCCCAAGGATGTAACTGGGAGTTAGCCGGAAGGGCTGGGAGACTGCAGGGTTGGAGGAGGTATCGGTCGGAGCTTGGTCGGGCTTGGGGGGTGAGTTATCGGTCAGTGGGTGGTGAGGTGTTGTATTCTCTTCCCTTGTTATTTCCTTTATCATTATTATCATTGGTGGTAGCAGTAGTGATTTGTGTTATACCTTAGTTACTAAACTGTTCTTTTCTCAACCCGTGGGAGTTGCATTCTTTTGATTCTCCTCTCCGTCCCTCCGAGAGCAGGGGGAGGGCAAGAAAGGGGGGGAAGTGAGCGAACGAATTACCTGACTGGGTTTAAACCACGACAATCAGTATGATAATTACATAAGAAAACAAATTTCAACATAGAACTTCACTCAGCTGGGCTCACATCGTTCCCATCCAGGGAACCCTGAGCAGGAATGCTGTTGTGGTTTAAACCCAGTCAGGTAACTTGTTCACTCACTCCCAGTGAGTGGTGCCGAGCTGACAACGATCGAGGTCCGTGTCCCCCCCCCCACCGGGGTTCTCCCCCACTCCCGGAGGAACGGGGAGGAGGATCGAAAGAGTGCAACTCCCACGGGTTGAGACAAGAACAGTCCAGCAACCAATGTACACAAATCACCACCGCTACTATCAACTACAACAATGATAAGGGAAAATAACAAGGGAAGAGAATACGATACCACCGGCCAAGAAGACGAGCTCCACCCGGAAGCCCCGTGTCCCTCCGGGTAGCTCCCAGTCACCCCCCACCCCGGCCATGACGTGCTGTGGTATGGAATACCTCCCTGGCTAGCCCGAGTCAGGCGCCCCATCTCTGCTTCCTCCCGGCTTCCCCTCCTCCCTGGCAGAGCATGAGCCTCACAAAGTCCTTGGTCAGGGTAAACATCACTTAGCAACAACTGAAAACATTGACTTCACCAACACTGTTCTCAGGCTGGAAGTCAAAACACAGCACTGCACCAGCTAGCACAAAGGAAAAAAAAACCAAACATGACTGCTACTGCTGAACCCAGGACATTATCCACCCCTTATTCCGTACCATTCACGTCGTGCTCAGATCCCACATTTTCAGTAC